CCCTGTATAGGCCTATTCCTTTTATCATATTCCCCTTAGGATACGCCCCATGGGCTTCCAAAGTTTCAATGTTTACATTTTGGAAGAATGTAAATAGTCAAAAATATGAATTGAAGTCAGCTGTAAATATTATAATTTGACAGTTCAAATAGCAGAGGTTAAGAGGTACAGGTTCTGCTGCCAAGATTCTAAAGCTTTATGATTATGATAATAGTCTGATTAAAATATTTATGAAAATATACTTATTTTCATGGAAACAGAAGGATTTTATACATTACAATGTATACATTTTTGGAATAATTTTTATATGGTACCTTTTTGTTTACGAATTTGAACTGATAAACAAATGTTTGGATCAGGATTTTAATAGGTTTTAAAAACCAAGAGATGTCGTATATGTACTGTACAGTTTATAAAATTTAACTGACTCAACGTTTACAATTTTTTTATTAATTAAATTTACAAACTAAAATTCAACTACTCCTACTTTCATTCAGTCCAGAGGTAGCTATTACTTATACTTTCTTCTATCATCTAATTCACATTCACTTTTTTACATTTACTGAAACCTCCTTAGTAGTTGTGTTCTTACAACCCTGCTTTAATTTGACTATGGAGAATTCATATCACAAAACTAAGCTGCACGCAATTCACTTTTGTTTCTAAAATCAATTCAATATCTATAACATAACTATTTTTCATTGTCAATGTTTTAAACGATGATGTAATTACAAATACATACACGTTTCGAACTATGAAATGAGTTAAAATAATAACTAATTTGTATTATGTTGTTGATTTATACTTAAATTGATGAAATTTGTGCCTGATTAAGAGTAATAGTGGTTGGCTTTCTAACAAAAGGTAATACAAATTTTCCATTAGTTTGTCTTTTCTTGTTATCGTGATATATACACATAACACTGATCTGCAGGTAAAGATTTAACTTTGAAAAAAGCTCAGTTGCTACGGTAAAACATATCAATTATATATGAAATCATTAAAAACGAATTCTTTCTTTACTACAGTGCTTTAAGTTATACGATTTTTTCCCCCTTAGTTACTTTAAATGTACGTTTATCAACGAAATAAATAAGTAAGCTTATCATTTGAAAATTGAATCATAAGGGTATATTATTTCCATCAGCGCCTCATATCATTCCTAGCCTTATAAACTTATAGAAAAAACATCTTTCTAACTAGCCTAGCCTTAAAGAAAGATATTTTTTCAAACTAAGAGTTTCAATTGAGTTATGTTCCAGAAAAAAACGGGGAATGTGTAACTATTTCATACAACAGAGTTCAAGATCAAATTTTTTGCTTTAGTGTCCTCTCCGTTGCGAAGCGCGGTTACAAGCTAGTTGATAATAATTGTATTTAATACAAGCCAAAGGTGTCTTATAGATTCCGAGTAAATTATTATAAACTATCAAATGGAGCATGTAAAGTGCATTATAAATAATCAACAAACCCTAACATAATTGACTATTGATTCAGTTACTGATTCGGGAATTACAATTGCTGATGATAACTGAATGCTCTGACCTGAAGCAGTGTTCTTCTTTACTTCTTTACCTATAAAACACATGGGATACAGCCTTTCTTCACTGATCACGTAATGCGTGATTTTCTATAGTCTTGGAAAAATAAAAGGAAAAATAGATAGAATACAGGTGTACAAATATTCATCAAACTGTGTGATAGTTTGTTATAGCAATGAACAATTTGAGAGTATCGTATTGTTTAAGTCGATTGTTGAAAATCTCTGTTGATCCTGTTTTACAAGCAAACCAAAAAGATACAGTAGTCACCACTCTATGCGACATATTCTAACCAGAAAATTGTAATCGTATGATTCTAAAAGCATTGGTAGGATTGCAAAGTACTACACAAACATCATTTCAAGGGTAATAACAGTCACAATTTCCGCTGACTTTTAAAGAGTCAACTAAACTATTATACTAATGGACACACAACTAAATGGAACAACTAATGGAAATTCTCACGATGTACATTCGTTCGATATAAGCATTGAGTATACACGTCAGTACATACAAGTATAAGTTTACCCAATGATATAAGCAACGGTTCTTGCAATTTATTGCTTATTGTTTTTTAGAGTTGTTTTCGGACTTACTCTGTTTTCGGATTTACTCACACTCGTATAAGGTTTTCCACGTTTGTCATTGATAATGTAGCCATGTTGCTTTGAAATGGCGACCATACAAATGTATGCATTTTAAGCCAAGTATGAATGGAGATGAGTGTGGGATGAGTGGAGCGATTTTGTTGTCCTGTTTGTGACTAAGGCCGACATAATCCTTAGACACAGCTGTTAATTAATAGTGCATACAGTCAATTAATAGCAGCAGAGGTCAAGTTTGGTATCAAATTAAAGGTTTTATTCATAAAAATACATTGCCGCAAACCCAAACTCAAACGATGATGATGATAATAACGTTAATGATGTCGCTAAAACGTATCGTTTGAAATTTGACAGCTGAAAATAAGTGAAATAGAAAAGGTTTTGGTTAAATCCATGAAATTGTAATTGGACACTAGTAAATACTAGTGCACTTGTTGCTACCTCCCCCCTTCGGTTTCATGTATTCCTCTCAATCAGTTCAAACCTAGGAGGATTAAACATTAATGTTACCTAATTAATGTTAAATCCTCCTAGATTCAAACCTGAAACACCCAGATCGAAACTCGCCTGTCGTTATTTTACCATCGCCTTTTTTTAAATATATTTTTCAAAAAAGAAAGATTATATTGATTTACTTTGGATTTTAAAAATGTTAACTTTTTATTTTGTTAAAGATTTATGGTGATACGTAAATATTGTGGTGTAGTAAAGTATATTATATTGTAGTTAAGTGTTAAATTTTGAAATTTAAGGGTGAATCGAGATGAATCTTTTTTTATAACATGGGTCTCTCCTACCTTAACATACATACCAAGTTTCATAAACATCGGTTGGAAAAGTGCAAAGATAAATATTTGTATGTAAAAAATACAAAATGGTGGATATCTGGTTAACGAAACGATTTAGGAAAAAATGTTATCCTTGATTTTCTGTTTATTTTGACCCAAGGAATTACTAGGTAAAGTATCTCCCCGCTTATTTTTAACACCCTGTTTATGATGTATTCTTATAAGTGAAAAATGTAAGCTGGTAATACAGAAAGATGTTTTATAAATAATATGAATGTACTGGTGATCTGTATATTCATCTTTTTCTTGTTCTTAGAACTGTAAATTATAAGTCCACTCAGCAGTCGCATCGTACGATCTAGTTCTTTCCATGCGTTGCGAAATGCTAAATTTTCTGTCTTCAACCCAAGTTATCTATTGAACCACGGATTGTAAAAAATTCCAAAAAAATATATTTTACGCATCACACTTTTGGCTACAACTTTGCCACAGACAAAACCTCTCTAACCCAAAAACAAACAAAAATCTCGCATGCTAACTTTTTCATGTTAGAAATCACGATTTAAAACTATTTCACCATACATATCAATTTTTATTAATTAGATCGGTAAATAGTTTAAAGTTCCAACAAAATAGTCATCGAGTAGGACTAACCAAGAAGCTCTGTGCCAATTTTCAAAATTTTAGCACAACTTTAAGTACACCAAAACGCGAAATTATTGAAGACATGCGTCGAGAAGACTATCGTTGTTTTTAACAGATGCACTGTTGACTCAGCGAAACTGAACTTATATTTTATCTTATTTCGTTATATTAAAACTGCTGTTGCATTATGTTAAATTCCCAATCTTCTCGTCAGCACCCCCTTTGTCCACACCACATACCATCTCCTCGTCAGCATTCCTCTCGTCCACACCACATGTCATCTCCTCGCTAGTATTCTTTTCGTCTATGAACAGTTTTTCAGCCCTAAACCTGTACATCGCACTCACCTCCTTGTTGAAGGGCATAGAGCCAGAGATTGGCCCAATGTCCAACACGGTTTGCTCCGTGGAATCCATTCGGTGATCCAACAAGTAGTCCTGTCCTTCTCCACGTCATCCTGCCCGCTGCTAAGCTTCGTTTCAATGCCATCTACTCTGATGTCCAAATCACTTGATTCATCAGTGTTAGTATTCACTCCAACTTCCAGCTTTGGATATTTAATAGTTTCAATGACAGCATCTGACTCTAATGGTCCAACCCTTATATCTAATTTTGAATGTCTTTGATTATATTTCCTTATTGAGAACATTTTTTTTATTTTTAATATCTGCCAAATAAGTATCCATTTTTTCTGATTGATTCTGTACTTGTGCTGAAATCTTCTCTAAAAAGAAACTCACCGGGTCCGCTGCTCGTGGTTGCTGTACCAACTGCGTAGTTCCTTCTACCAGTGGTAGCAACTCGCAGGTGTCACGGTCTTCACCATCTTCCTTAAGGTCCAGACGAATTCTATGGTCCTTTCCATTGAATCATATTCTAGTTTTGTCATTTCTTATGTCAGTCCTGTCACGGTCGCCAATTGTAGTCGTCACTGTACGCGATTCACGATTAATAGTGATATCACGGACGGTTTTGGTAGTGAATTAAATCCAGAAATGACAAAATACTAGATTAAATTTTAACATAAGAAAACTGAGCTTGCATTGGACACGCAAAACAAAACAACAAACTAAACTTTATTTACATTTCAAACAATTTAACATATGACTATAAATTTTAATACTAAGACAAAACAATCTTTTAGAAATAAATAAAAACCAGTCACCCAAACTACAGCAAAGCAGCACCTTCAGCAAAGGTTAATTTAAATAGATATTGAAGTTTTTAAAACCAATAACCAGTTAGGCATAACACGACAAACTTCTTACTATAAAAAGTCTTTTCATTGATAGAGAGGGTAATTTCAAACACCATGTATAAATTATTTGGCGAATGAATAACTAAGAGATTTGACTTACAAAGACGTAGGGATTTGATTTAACTTTATCACAAAAATGTCTAATGTTTGTTACACTCTGCAGCTGCAGGTTCACTAGTGCTGACAAGCACAACGCCTGGCACTGGTCAGCGCAGATCCCCCACAGCCCACTCCCTGGCACATGCAGTCATCACCATGGTCACCAAGGAACGTCACAGTGACGCAGTGACTGGCTGTGCTCTCACACTGCTCAGACACTGCTGTCAGTCCCAGGACACACGCAACGTTATTAGCAAGGTCACTACATAGGCTTATATATCTGAATATAATAATTGACCACTAAGTTCAGGATCAGTAAATAAATAATTTGAACTCATCTAAGGTGGGTATTTCCCCCCATCCAGTAAGGGCTCTAATCTCAGACAGTTACTGATTTTGCCAAATTGAAGGAATGAACCTGAAATATAGGGCTGGACCATTTGAAAAAAATATATTTTCGATCTTCGGGTGGGATTACTCAACGCTGAATTTTATCAGGTCTGGATTTGTTCCAACTCTCAGGGATTGTGTCACCAATTAGAGTGACGATGATGTCTCTCCGACCACGAGAGATGTCAAAAGTGGACCTGCCTGATGAGCCTAGCAGTCCATCGTCCTCAATTCTCCTTTTCCCAGTTCTCCTGCCATATCCTGAAGGTGCTGGAGCGCTCTTCTATTCTTACGACATACTTACCAACATAGCCACGTTTATGGCAGATTGCCTTCCTCTCCGCTGCCAAGAGTTTGACAAAGATGATTCCAGTAATCACCTGACTTACATATGGACAGATCTGCAGTGTACAGGGTTAATGGCCAAACCATTCACGCAGCTCTAAGATTGAAAATACGAAATTTCAATGAATTACAGGGCGAAAACTGACTCCAAACAGCCGCGGGATTTTTTAATGATTTTGCCGCAATAGCACATGACTATGATGGCGTTTCCGTGACCACAGGAGACGACGATGACGTTTTCATGACCGTGGGAGACAATGATGACGATTCCAGACCGCGGGAGAAGACTATGACGTTTCCGTAACCGCGTGAGACGACAATGGTGTCAAAACGGCCGCGGGATATGTTAGTGATTTTGCCACGATCGCGCATGCGGACAATGACGTTTCCGTGACCACGGGAAACAATGATGATGTCCAAATAATATTGCTTGACGATGATGACCGTGGGAAATTATTTGAATTAAGCTACTATTGAGGAAGATGATGATAACCTTATTTCTGATCACGGGAGACGTAATAATGTTTCCGTTACCGTTGAACAATATCAGGATTTTGTCACGACTACGGAAGACAGTGGTGATGTTTCTGTTACTGAATGAGATATTCAGAATTTTTCAGTTATCACAGAAATCGATGATGGTGTCTTTTTGACAGTGTTAGATGATCACGATATAACCACGATTTTGGCTTGAACAACAATTTCAAAATCGCACACTTCTAGAGGACCCATATGATACAATTATGTGGTACCGATTGTCCTATGTTCATGTTCATTCGTTCATTGTAACTAAATTTGTAACACCTGAAAACAATTTCTATTGGCACCTGCCTATTCTCTCACAATTCACAAATCCCAAGGCATGGCCAAGTAGTTGTTGATATTGGACCATGATAATTCAGTGCTGGGTTGACGTATGTTGATGTGAGCTGCGTCTGAACGATGATAGATGGGCTGCTTTCGACCCAGTAGTTAAAAAAAAATGTTTGATGAGTATTAACAAAAGCTTGGTCTGGAGAAAGATACCTGTACCAGTCGAAGATCACCTTTAGTATCACTGCTACAAAGATTTTTGAGTTTTACCGTAGACAAACAGTATTAAATATAGACTGGCAGCAGCACTGCTGCCGGTCTATATTTTATTCTATTTGTCTATGGTTTTAGTTTGAAATGTCCACATTTGTAGATTAATTATGTAACTTATATTGTTTCAATGTTCTTTAATAATATGTTTAAGTAAATATCTTGCTCTAATTGTTTTTTTTTGTGTTTTTTTTTTTTTTTGGAGGTCTTGGGATGAAGAGAATGTTATATCTTTTGTGTTTTCATTTGTATACTTATCATCACATAAGTAACCAAAATGGTTCAAGCCAAAAATGTTTGGGTTAAATGTTATCACTAGCTGAACTGTTGAGAAAAGGTAAATATACCATCCCAGACGTTATAAGCATAAAATCAAATGTAAATGCAGGTATCACAAACCCATATAGGGCCTAATAACATCTCTGTGTTTAAAAAAATTCTTCTCTTCACTGGGAAATAATTTGTAGCTATTTTGATCATTCTAAAATTGAATCCCTACAAAAAATTTTCTCTATTGATATTGTAGGTAAAAATAATTTTGAAGCTTGATGATGAGGGCTCATTTCATTTCAATTTTGTGGACGCGTCTGCGAACGTCACCTAGTTTAGTTAATTTCCAATTCCATTGTTTTAGCAACAGCTTCACAAACAATTATTTATCCGTAAAGTATATAAGGGATTCTACTGTACCATACTTTATAGTTCTCCTCAACACTTTGATAATAATTTTGTTTGTTATGTTCCAGAGTGGCCTTCTCTCCAAGTGGTCAGATTTATTGTCAGACCGACGCCAAAACATTGAAGAAGTTCAAGAACTTTGGTTTAAGTTTATACTCACTTTTACATTCTATCCCGAGGGCCAATTGTCTCTACCTAAAGTAAGATTGAATCAGTACAAATCAGTTGAACTAGATATGCTAATCCATCTGTATTTTATATATATATTATATATAATATCTATATCTATATCTATAGTATATATCTATAATGGTTGAAGCATATCAACCATGCAACATAAGCTTAGAATCAAATCAAACAAATCTATATATTAATTTGAAACTGTTTTTCTTTGTCACAGCTAATTTGAGAGAACGACTGGGCGTAGAAACTTGGTAGAGGTGTCTAAAGAAAGGTGTTGGTCTGTAGATGAGCCATCAAAAGAGAAACAAAGTAAATTCCCTTGGGCTCTGCCCCAGTAGCCTTTAAAATTCCATTCCTATGTTATTCTTATGGAGGAAATAATGGGGGTTTTGTCACGGCTAATTTGAGAGAATGGCTGGGCATAGAAACTTGGTAGGGGTGTCTAAAGAAAGGTCTTGGAACTAGGTAAATAACAAGGTAAATTTCCTTGGGGCTCTACCCCAGAGGCTTTTAAAGTTACCTCAGCAGATTTGTTTACATCATGACCATATGGTAATTTTACACTACTTTTAACGAACCAGCTGTTAATATTAAAACTGTATAACAAAGGTAAAAAGTGTTATGAGCATTTACTGAATCTGTCGAAATGAATTGTTTACATTATTATTTATGACTAGCTGTGTGCCCGTTCTACGCACGGGGATCTTATCATAGTCAGTTAAAACCTCTGTTACAATCACCCACTGCAGTTGTGATTTTTTACTTTACACTTTACACAACCGCCATTGAAGCGCCGTCAATGAGTGGAACCTTGTTTCTAAGCTATTGACGACGATCATTAATAAATTTAAGTTTCCCAACTGATTCAATGTCTTCTTTCTGGTTATCAAAACTCCAGAACAATTTTATACACAAAGAATCTCTGGTTCCTGACCTGGATGATGCCTAGTTATTTAATGTAATTTACGGTTACACTATATTATTCCACTTGCGATTAATTAAATCCTTTACAGTATGTAAGAAAAACGTTTTTAATCTCACTTGGATGGGATTTGCCTTCAAACGTGATCGGAAATGGTTGTGGTATTTGTAAACAACATTTGTAAACATATCAGTGACAGCTAGAAAAAATAATCTTGATCCGAACAGCTGTTCATTATTTCATAGATGATTATGTGATAAAAATTAGATGAAAACTAGACAAAAATCGCACAAAATTGCATTTTTGAACGTCCGTAATTTTATTTACAAAGTAGTGAGGCCATATTTTAATGGCTAAAGACACTCTCGCCAATCCAGTGAATACTTTAAAATGACTTGGATCTTGACAGGTACTCTCGTTTTCCTGGAGAAGATTGCGTAAAATGCAATCTTGAGTGTTACAGACAGACAGACAGACAGAAATTTAGATGAGACTTGTTTCGGCTTCTTTAATGTATAAAACGTAAAAATAACCTAAAAATGTATGATTCTGAGCAATGTACAGACAAAACTCTAATTTTATTTATATAGATTTTGAAATTAATTTTCCTCTACATGGCAAGTTTTTTATAGTTTGAATACGTTTTTATTTATTTTTTTTTATCTATGTTTTAATGTTCTTAGAAAATATTGTATTATGAAATCAGTGGGATATATCTATTTCAAAGGAACAGATAACTATTCCTTATCGGGTGCTTGCCTTTTTTGGTCTACTTTCAATAATCGTTTATTATTACATTCAAGAAAGAACGTCAGAGGTTTTTAAGATGGAAATTTTTAAGAAAACCATAAAAGTTTTCGATAATCAGGTAGAAAATTGTGTCATACAATAAAAGCCATGCAAGTGCAGAGGAATATGTTGAGGGTGGGAGCTGTGTTCAAGTTTTGGCATAGACTAACCACGGATTATGTTTAATCTAAATTTTTGGTAAAGTATGTGAATTATAGTTATTTGTGCAACTAGTGAGAAAAGTGAGCAATTGACTCACTCGAGAGAAATCCTTACTCACGAGCCGTAGGCGAGTGAGGAATAGTTTCTCGAGTGAGGCAATTGTACTTTGAACTCGAGTTGCACATTATACTTTTCCTACAGTTACCATAAAACAAATAAATTGGTGAAGAAACATAACCTATTTTTACACAGAAGTGAACTTTTAATATAACATTTAATGTGAAGAGACAAATACAACAGTACAACAGCTGACCAGCTGATTTACAGCCAGTGCTGCCAACGTATTTCGCGCGCATACGACGTTGCCTGCATGTTACGCGATCACTATTTCGTACCTTCACGTTGCAAATCTGGAGTGAGACAAAGTAATTAGAACATTGTCTCACTGATGAGCGAATTGGCCACTTTGCTTTCTCAAATCAGTGAGAGAACATGTACATTGTTAGGTAACTGTAGGAAAAAGGCATTTCAGGTATTTTTAAAAAAAAAATGGGTTTTTACTTTGATGTACACATCTAGCTAGGTTGAACAACGCATCTAAACCTCATTACATACAAAACATTCGGAAACAAAACAGTGTCGCCACATCTAATCTCATTATTTGCATAATTTCTTGCCAACAAAGCCGGACTAGGTTATGGATGTGGTTCCGCAAATGTTCAAGATTGTTGGCTAAATTTACTACAATTTGGTCCATCCCACCCACAAAATACATGCACAACTTTATGTGATCGATACGGCCAAGGCAATTGACCTTCGCATATCAATAAAGTTCAAGTTTGACAGCAACCTCACGGCACGATTTCACAAAACTACGCCAGAAGTTAATCAATTAGCAAATAAGTACATGATGATTAAATACATTGGTCGAAGTGGCAAGAAAAGGAATCAAAATTATTTATACCCCTATCGAAGTAAGAATGTTACTGCTTTCTGGAGAATCAGATATTTTTATAAAATAAAAAAACTGATTTAATATGCCTCCCGCTGATAAAATTCTGTGTTTTTATGACCAAAGATGGTGATTCACTTATACAATCCAAATACAATCTGAATGGTTTTCCCAAAGCAGATGGAACCAGTTATTTTAGTAATATTGACTCTTTCCGTCAAATGACAGACCAGCTATATGAACTCCTTTCCCCATATAGTGAATTAGGCTTTAACATGAACAAAAGTCATGAACAAGAAACAATTGTAAGACTCCTGAAAAGCCTTTTGGGCAACCTAAAGCCAATGAAAGGACAGAAAATATTGAAATCAACGAATTCATCAACCACGTTTTTTAAGGTGCACTATCGTCTTACTCATAATTATGTTTATCCTTCCTTCATTTAACTAAGATTTTTATAACTTCACTCTGTCCATCGCAGTTAGCTGAATTTACGTAAAACCTCAAGAGTAATCGTCAATTTCGATGGGATTCACCTAGTAATCTTTATTCATTATTAGTATTTACATGAATACATTGAACAGAGCCAAATCGTATAACTATAATGTCCTTAATTAAAATATGATAGTTACAAATTAGGGATGGTCGTATCCGGATATCGGACTGCCGGATCCGCCAGATCCGAGCTAGAACCGGCACCGGATTGGATCCAAAAAATTCCGGATCTTGGGCTGGATCCGGTTTTGATGGATCCAATTTTTTCCCATTTTTTTCCTAACACAAAGCTGTCTGTATCACTATACAACCCAGATTTTTTAACCAACACAAAGCAGTCTGTATCACTGTACAACTCCGATTAGTTTACTAAACACAAAGCTGTCTGTATCACTGTACAACCCCAATTTTTTTACTAACACAAAGCTGTCTGTATCACTGTACAACCCCGATTTCTTTACTAGCACAAAGCTGTCTGTATCACCTCAGTGTACCTAACAAAACAAAATTTTGTTTTATTACTCTGAGGTATCACTGTACAACCCGGATTTGTTTACTAACGTAAGCTGTCTGTATCCATGTAAGAGACCGATTTTCCCCCGATTTGTTTACTAACACAAAGCTGTCTGTATCACTGTACAACCCCGATTTGTTTACTAACATAAAGCTGTCTGTGTCACTGTACAACCCCGATTTGTTTACCAACATAAAGCTGTCTGTATTGTTGTTAAAAGGATTATTGTGGACATTTTCCATCACGATTTTAAATAAACTGTATTAGCATTCTGACACATACTTTCTCCCATAAGTTTGTCAACAACCTTTATCATGTGTAAGCGGTGAGGGTAAATATACGGAATGGGATTTGTAAAATATTGTTCATAATTTAAAGGACTATAACATACTAAATTTGTAATAAAATAGTTCGGGCCATTTTTGAGAAAATTATTTTTTTTTTTGTTATTTTATGGATTTTTTATGGGAAAATAACATAATTTACAATAACTTTTTAACCGTATTTTTTACAGAAATGGGATTTGTACCATTTTGTTCAAAAAATAAAGGACTATAACATACTAAATTTTTATCAAAATCGTTCGGGCCATTTTTGGGAAAATCCTATTTTTCCGTTATTTTATGGGGTTTTATGGGAAAACCCCCATTAAAAGTCAAAATTTCTAAAAAATGAAAAAAACCACAAAAATTTAAGGACCATAACATACTATGTTAAATCAAAACCGGATTGTTTTCTAAAATCCTATTTTTCGTTATTTTATGGGAAAATAACATAATTTACAATAACTTTTGAACCGTAATTTTTACAGAAATGGGATTTGTACCATTTTGTTCAGAATTTAAAGGGCTACAACATACTAAATGTTTATCAAAATCGTTCAGGCCATTTTTGAGAAAATTCGATTTTTCCGGTTTTTTATGGGAAAATCCCCATTAAAAATCAAAATTTAAAAAAAATTTAAAAAACGCTTGGAGATACTATGGATTAGAACCTACATACCAAATTTCATCGAAATCGGACCACAGGTGTAGTCCCTAGCTCTGTACACATCCAGACACACAGACACACACACACACACAGACATCACTTCGAAAACCACTTTTTTGGGTTCAGGGGGACCCAAAACGGATATATCCACTCAAAACTCAAACTCGAAAATGTTGACGAAAAAAATATTTTCTCCATATATACCTTGGTATAGGGGGAGAAAGTAAAAACAATACACAACGTTTTGGGATCTGGAATCTGTCTGTGTGGGGTTGTCTGTCTGTATTACTGTACGACCCCGATTTTTTTACTAACACAAAGCTATCTGTATCACTGTACAACCCCGATTTTTCCCGATTTTTTTACTAACACAAAGCTGTCTGTATCCATGTACAAGACCGTTTTTTCCCCGAGTGTTTGTCTCTTGATGCAAACAACTTATATGGCAAGGCCATGTCTCGATGTTTGTATCTAGATGCAAATAACTTGTATGGCAAGGCCATATCTCAGTGTTTGCCTCTTGATGCAAATAACTTATATGGCAAGGCCATGTCTCATTGTTTGCCACTTGATGCTAATAACTTATATGGCGAGGCCATGTCTCACTGTTTTGTTTGTCTCTTGTTGCAAATAACCTATATGGCAAGACCATGACTCAGTGTTTGTCTTTTGATGCAAATAACTTATATGGCAAGGTGATCATTGCTCTTAGTGTTAGTGCTCTTAGGTGATCATTGCTCAGTCTTAGTGTTTGTCTCTTGGTGCAAATACCCTATATGTCAAGGCCATGTCTCAGTGTTTGTCTCTTGATGCAAATAACTCATATGGCAAGGCCATGTTTCAGTGTTTGTCTCTTGATACAAATAAATAACATATAGGCCTATGGCAATAGCATGTATCTTTCTGAACTGAATCCGACCCGATTTTTCGGATATCTGCACAGTGCACACCTCTAGTTTTTAGTTTTGTACCTGGATGATAAGCTAACGGCCTATAATCTCGTCTCGAAAATATCCCGTTAGCATTTCAATCTCACCCGATGCTTCGTGATAAAAATAATAAAAGTATGATTTTGTCGTAACCTAACCGTTACGTTAGAAAACTAGAAAAGTGGACAGTAATTACAAAAGAACCACTTACGATCGTTGGTGAACATAGAAGAAGGAGCCGTGACGAATCATCCCACTTCAGGGCTCAGTGCACAGTGCAGCCACCCCGCAAAACATAATAACTCTTCTGTTACTAATAATTATGACTGTTCATATATGAAACTATAATGACTTCTACTACAGATTTCAATTTGCATTTTGTTAATTACGTTTTTTCTAACCCGCCCTTATGACAGTGTGTATCTGGATCCGGATCCGAAGATATGAAGATCCGGATCCGAATTTTTCAAGATCCGGATCCGGTACCGACATTTTGTTGGATCCACCCATCACTAAACAAATAAAACTGTTTTTATGTTGTTGTATGACACTAATAACAATTTTTATTTTTTTATTAATTACATTCCTTAAATTTAAAAAAATCTTTAATTGAAAAGTTAGGATGAGTCAATAGGTATTCTTTAAGGCAGGTTTTGAAACTGTTATATTTTTCTTCACAAAGAGTATTCTTAGGCAGATTATAAATAAATTTAGTATCAATAAAAGATGTTTTCTTTTCAAATATCTGTAATTTATGTGGTTAATATCTGTTATTTCTCAAATTGTATGTATGTGAATTTTGAATGTATTTTTGCGTGTTTGATTTTTTAACATGTAAAATGGTTTGGTAAAATGGTAATGGTAAAATATATATAGGTAATAATTTATGCCTAATTGCATTTATGCACTCATGCATGATGTCTAATTTTGAAAAATATGATTTTGTGGATTGTCTATATTTTATATTAAAAATAATTTGTAATCCTTTCTTTTGCTGTTTCAGAATTTATTTAAGGATTTTATTGCTAGTCCCACTTCATATAGCAATACTTAAACAGATATTTTAACTTGAAAGAACTTCAAGCAGCTTATCATCAGTCACACTATCGAATGCCTTTGAAAAATCAAGAAAGATCCCAATTACTTTTTTTCATTTTTATTGATTGAGTTTATAATTATTGGTTCAATAAACTTTATTCCCGCAGTAATCGAAGATTTACCAGGGCGAAAACCATGTTGTTCATTGTCAAACAACAGATTATTTTCTTAAAAGTGTAGTAGTTGGTTGTACACCACTTTTTCAAAAATCTTTTTCAAAAATCTGAAAAAACTTAAAAAAGTTTATTACTGAGCTGAAAGTTTCGTGATTCTTAATTATATTTTCTGAGTGAATTGCTTTTTGAATTTTTAGAAACTTTTGTTAAGTGAAGGGTCAGTTACTGATTTTATTGGTTTGGTTTCGGTTAGGTTATTTTAAAAATCGGTTCTCGGTTGTCATCTCCTATACTCCTAACTATTTCTACTACTTATCATACGCTAAACTAATTTACTTAAAAATACAAATACACAAGTTTGCGAATTGCAAAGTAATACAATTGATTTCAACTTTCTAAGATGTAACTAAAAAGTCTTATTTATTATAGATAACGTTATCCCTGGTTTTATATAAAGATAGTATACAGTACATTGCAGAACTGTCTGGCAAATGAGTAACAGAGTGTCCACAATCTGGAAAGTCAGGGATAGTCATGGAAAAAAATTGTGGTCATTGAAAGTCATGGAAATAGTCAAAAAGTCATGGAAATTCCCAATCATGGATGGATTTAAGGGGACTTTTCAATGCTCTAGTCGGCCGTAACCCCCATTATTGTAGTATTTTTCCGGATTTTTCACAAATGTATGACAATTCAATTTATTACAGTTGTATTAGTTCAATACAATCTGTCCCTACTTTATCTTATAAATTTAATTTAATATTATTGTAGGATATTGTTGCAACGGTAGTGCATATTAAAATGTTACAACTTTATTATTACAACTCAAATTGCAATTCAGTACAAATATTATTACAATGTTATGAGTTGTCTTAGTTTGTGAGAAGTTCGCGAGTCATGGAAATCAATGGTAAATGGTCATGGATAGTTATGGAAAGTCATGGAAATTAATGACAAATTTTCTGTGGACACCCTGGAGTAATCCAAATGTAGTATTTCTTACTGTCTTAATGATAAATCATGATCCGCTGTATTGAAGTAAACAAAAATCAGCAGTAAATAGCTTCTAATGCTATTCTTATGGAGATCATTTTACGTTATATATAATTTTGTGCTAAAATTATGGGAATTTCACTATTTTCCCGCCGTCACGGGATCGAGGCCTTTAATTAGAGCCCTCTCCCGTCATTCTAAGACTTTCCAGTCACCCACAATTTTGACGCAAAGAATCGGCTTACGTAATTAATATATAGATGAATAATTTTCCCCAAAATTTCATGCCCAGACCTTTAAAATGATACCTCTCCCAGTTTTCTACAGCCTCCCGTTCGCTCACAATTTCATTATAAAATTTTGTTCTTACGGAATTAGATATATAGATTAAACTACCATATCCCTATGTGTGTAAGGTGTACGCGCGCTGGGGTCGCGGCCTTTTTAGGCTCTACCTTATCGCCTTACAAATAAAATGCTCGGAATTGCTTAAGTCGAGCTGGAAAACTCCAAGGTCCTTCCGCTATTCAATTTTTAACCAACCGTCTTTGATGTCTGGTGACTTTGATGGTGTCTCAGAGTGATACCTCACCACAGGGGGTCAATAATGTCAACACACTTATCACCACTTAAATGATCACTTTTAAAACAACTGACAACGCTGTGTTGTTCTTGCGTGTCTTGTGCCAGGCTAATTGGCCGGTTTTTCCTCAACTTAACCAACTCAGTAAACTAGAATATCACACTAATTGCCAGGCTAACTCCCTGGTCTTTCCTCAAATAAAACAATCTAATAGACTAAAATAATGCCCAACCTGCCAGGCTAACTCGCCGGTCTTTCTAAAATAAAAAAGAATTTAATACGAAACGATTCCCTACTGGCCAGGCAAACTCGCCGGTCTTTCTAAAATAAAAAGAATTTAATTAACTAAAACAGTTCCCTACTCGCCAGGCCAACTTGCCGGTCTTTCTAAAATAAATCTTAATTTAATAAACTAAAAGAATTCCCTACTGGGCAGGCTAACTTGCCGGTCTTTATAAAATAAAATAATTTAATAGAATAAAATAATTCCCTACTTGCCAGGCTAACTTGCCGGTCTTTCTAAAATATCTCAATCGACTAAAATCAAACTTTGAGTGCCAGGCTGATTAGCCGGTCTTTATACAATAATCAATACTTATCTTTAAATACAATTAATTATCGTGCTAGGCTAATTCGGCGGTCTTCAGTTAACTATTAACTTGAAATATAAAACGTGATTCGCCTGTCTTTCTTCTATAAAACTATAGTAAACTCCAGACTAAATATTGAACGTTAATGTCAGTCCCACTTTCCAGTCTTAACAAAAAAAATAAATGTCATGAAATTGATTTAACTGTGTTTCTCTTGGTAACAGACTGGGGAACTGTTCACTCAGCTGGTTATGAATGTTGAGAGTAGTCAAGCTAGAAGCCGAGGCAGAGCTGTAGCAATCCTGCGTAACTTGGCGACTCACAACTCCAACAAACCTCGACTCCTCAGCAACAGTAAGTAACAATGAAAATATAAATATGTACTGTTCATAGCATTGCAATGCCTACAGACCAACAATAAATGAAGTTATTTAATAGAGCATAAACTTTTTAGAAATGGTACAGCACCAGCCTATTTGAAAAAATTTGTGTAACATTTTAAGTAGAGGTGTGTGCGAGTGGTTGGTGCAAACTGCAAATGCAAGAGATTGAGCACAAAGTCGGATAATCGAGCTTGAGTTGAGCTCTTACATCCGTGACGCGTAAAACGCATCTGCAAAGTTAGTGCGATCGATAAATTCACGTTTGCCGTGATCGCAGAAGACTATGATGACGCTTCCGCGACCGCGGGGGAAAACGATAATGTCTGAAAACCACGGAAGATGTCCAGGATTTTGCCGAGATTTCGGATGACAATGATAATGAACACATGACTGCGGGATATATTTGGGATTTTGCCGCGATTGCAGATGACAATGATAATCTTAGGTGAGATTTTTCAGGATTATGCAGCCGATGATAATTGTTCTTGATAATAAAAATTATCATGATATTAAGGATTATGGTCAGCACAACAATGTGTTGAATGCAAATTACAACTATTTATGATTTATGATAAGTACCTACTACCTGTGACTATTAATACAACCAGGGCCGGATTTAGCATTTTTGCGCCCCTAGGCCCAAAATAATTTTCCGCCCCCTAGTCTGGTCACAGTTACTTTCCTTCAATAGTCTAGGCATATTAGGAAAGTTAGCAGAAAGTTTAGCTACAGTCCTAATCATCACTTTTCTTTATGTTTTTTGGGTCGCTGAACACGAATATGAGGTTTGCTGACAGATATTTTGCCCGGAACATTGGTTATTTTGTGAAAAACCTTAAAATTTGGGCACTTTTTTTGGTTTTTCAGGCAAATCTCGGTAAGTATATGTTTTTGATAAAATCCTGCTTTGTAAAATTAAAGATGACAAAATTTACTACAAGTTTCCTATATAATGTTTGTTTCTACGACGAACCGTTTCGCCACTAGAGCACACTAAAAAAGGCAAGCAGTACAAAAAATTAAAAACAATGCTGCCGTTTTACATTGCGTTTCCATGGAAACAACTTATGTTACGATAATTTTAACTATTTATTCATGATAACAAACTGAAACACACTTAAAAATACCCCCACCGCAGCAAACCTGCAGACTAAGCGAGTTTCCATTTCCCTGATTGGATTTACACTAAAATGTTTCCTTAGAAATATCATATTTATTCCCTATTTAAATAAAAGTTTAACGAGTACTTAGGTTTGCTGCAAAAGGGAGGGTAAAAAGGTGTTTTCTTTTAAATGTAATAATATAGTATGAAATGAATGCATTTTCTAAATTTGATCAAAACATGTTCATAAACAAGCAAACTACAACAGTTTACTTAGTCTCCATAAGAATAACATAGGCATTTTAAATTTACAGATTTTTGGAATTTTCTCCGTAACCATTAGGCGCATAACAACGCTTTAATATACTAAACTATTTTTTTAAGCTCTACAAAATGGCATGGAAATAAATCGCTAAATTTTAAGTTTATATGGTCAAAAATAGGAAAAGCCAATTTTTACCCCATAAAACCCCCCATAAATCCCTGTTCCCATAGTCCGATCATGCTGGGCAAAACGAAAAATGAAAATAAACCCTAACCGTTTTTCAAAGGTTTTACATTGGGTTTCCATGGAAACAACCCATGTTACGATAAATTGAACTATTTATTCATGATAATGAACTGAAACACACTTGATAAATCTATGCCAAGATGTATGACTGACTGCTGGAACATTTCCCGTTCCCACAAATCCCCCATTTATTTTCTCAGCACAGGGATGTTTCTGGCCACAGGGTTGACTGCTATAGTAGTTGAGAAAAAAGGATGAAATACATTAAAAGAGTTGTAGAAAACTTTTAACTTTGGTAACGTCAAATTCAGATGAGTAGACCGTGTCCAGCCACTTGCCATAGTGAATAACGCGATGAAAGTAGAGAATTCTTACCGGTAAACCCCAACACATTGTTTCAACGTATCAGCATCGCTAAGAATTCTGATGAAGAACTAAAACACTTCTTGTCCTTCTTACGGAGAAAATTCCAAAAATCTGTAAATTTAAAATGCCCATGTTATTCTTATGGAGACTAAGTAAACTGTTGTAGTTTGCTTGTTTATGAACATGTTTTGACCAAATTTGGAAAATGCATTCATTTCATACTAAATTATTACATAAAAAAACACCTTTTTACCCTCCCTTTTGCAGCAAACCTAAGTACTCGTTAAACATTTATTTAAATAGGGAATAAATGTGATATTTCTAAGGAAACATTTTAGTGTAAATCCAATCAGGGAAATGTAAATTCGCTTAGTCTGCAGGTTTGCTGCGGCGGGGGTATTTTTAAGTGTGGTTCAGTTTGTTATCATGAATAAATAGTTAAAATTAACGTAACATAAGTTGTTTCCATGGAAACGTAATGTAAAACGGCTGCATTTAGCAATGTTTTTAATTTTTTGTACTTCTGGCCTTTTTTAGTGTGCTCTAGTGGCGAAACGGTTCGTCGTAGAAACAAACATTATATAGGAAACTTGTAGTAAATTTTGTCATCCTTAATTTTATAAAGCAGGATTTTATCAAAAACCCATACTTAACGAGATTTGCCTGAAAAACCAAAGAAAGTGCCCAAATTTTAAGGTTTTTCACAAAATAACCAATGTTCCGGGCAAAATATCTGTCAGCAAACCTCATATTCGTGTTCAGCGACCCAAAAAACATAAAGAAAAGTGATGATTAGGACTGTACCTAAACTTTCCGCTAACTGTCACTTATATTCCTAATATGCCTAGCCTACAAACCTTTATTAAAAACTATCATGCCCATAGGCCTAAGTTAATTGCTTGAATACCACTCTTCGTCGGAATCATTGCATTGTTTTTTTTTTTATTGACTTGTTTAGCATTAACAAAATGCCGTCTTAAATACTTTTAGCAAATTTATGCCTTTACTAAATGCTCGCGTTTGTGGCTGTGGCTGCCGTGGGACTGAAACAAAACAACTCAACTCACCGAGCATTCATGCAAAAAACATGACCATTGATTCCAATTCAGGGTCAAAAACATGAACTCCATACAGTACGTGATACCATAGATTAAACATACGCTTTAGTAGATTTGTCATCGTTTTGGATTCACCTAGCTGAAAACAATTATTTTTATATAAGGAGTATGTTTTATCTAAGTTTAAACCTAGTTTATCCAAAATAAAACAATCTAATCATTAACAATAGGTCGTCTCCTGTTTATATTACAAGAAATTGAAACCTACATCATAGAGCTAACCCTAAAATAATTTAAACAAAATTACGTGATAACTAACGTCAAGTTTCCCTAACTTAAACTAGACATTGAAAAAATTGTGAATTAACAATGTCATAAGAAGTCGACTTGAGTGAGTTATATTTTATCTAAGGTTGTACTGCATCTAGGCTTTGACTATTCAACGTTCTAGGTTATATTTCCAAAGCAAAACAAAGCAATATTCCGGCCAACCATACCGATCCTTAGGTCTGAGGAGAAAATGTCTGAGGTTAACCAAGCTGTTTACAAATACGCACGTCAGCTGTCTGCTACAATATTTTCGGAACTAAAATGAATAGCACTTAGAAACAGACCTCTGGAGAAAGCTTAGAATCTAACAAAAAGAACGATACCTAACTCGATCCAGTTCAATCCGATTCAGTCAGTCATAGAGCCTTCGCCGTAAACGATGTTCGTGTGTCGAAAAATCGACAAGTGACACTACACAAAGTGTGTCGTGAGTCGATTTTTCGACAAGTGACGCTCGGAGGGTTAAGTTCCATTGTGTGGTTCTCCGGTGTTAATCCATCATTTCCACAAGGAGCTAAGTTGCGTGTAGACACTGTTGTCTCACGCCCATCTGGCAATCGTACATGAGCGTAATCAGAGTTTCCTTCCAGCAACGTCACCTCCTGCACTATTGGTTCATACTTAGACTTTCTGATAGGAAGTCTCATCAACACTTTTCCAGGAGTCATCAACCAGGTTGGTGTGGAAACACCATTATGTGATCTTCTGGGATGTCCAAACATTTTACTTCAGGACATACCTTACAGAAAGCAGTTATTCTTCTTACCTTATCAAGGGAGTATGGTAAATTTTTGCCTCTTATCCAATGATACATACGAGTTTCACCAGGATGACACATTCTTTCATGATATTGATGAAGTCTGTTCATTTTGTCGCTCATCGAGCACACTCGTGATAGAGAGTCAGCAGCTACATTCAGTTTACCAGGTCTATAAACAATATCATAACTATAGCTTGATAGTTCTAGTCTCCACCTCATGATTTTGTCATTCTTAATTTTCCCCGATATCTTAGAGTTGAACATGAAAGAGACAGACTTCTGGTCTGTTATTAGTTTGAAATGTCTGCCTAGCAAATAGTGTCTCCATTTTCGTACTGACTCCACGATTGCATATGCTTCCTTTTCAACCGAACTGTGCTTTAGTTCACTATGAGACAGAGCTCTTGAGAAAAAGGCTTCAGGTTTTCCTTCCTGTGTCAGTGTTGCTGCTATTACAGTGTCAGATGCATCAGTCTCAACAGTGAAGGGTAGATCAGGGTTTATGGGACTCATTGAGGCATTTTCAATCTCTTGTTTCAGTTCATTAAATGCATTTACAGCCGTTGCGGATAAAGGGAAAGAGCTGGTTGTCAGAACTTTAATCTTTTCAGAAAATCGTGGGACATATCTTGAGAAATGGAAAAACATTCCTACTGCCCTTCTTAGGGATGATAGGTTTGTGGGCAAGGGGAAGTTCTTTAGAGGTAAAAGCCGATCAGGATCTGGCTTAATGGTTTTGTTGCTTATTGTATATCCAAGGAGACTAATAGATTTCATTGAAAAAGAACATTTATTTTTATTAATAGTCAAGTTATACTTGCTAGCAGCGTTCATCAGCCTGTTT